AATTATTATATATTATATTCTTATCTACTGTATCCATTTTATAGTAATTGTTATATAATTATTATTTGTTGTTATTATTTAACAAGCACACACATAAATGCACATTTCAGTATGTATGCTAACACACTATTATATTGTTTGTTGTTCCTCTTTCACTTGTCTCCACCAGACAGGGAGCAAACTGTGAATTTCTTAAGAGTGGGAGCCATAAGACTGTACTGTGTTCCCAGAAACACGAGTAAAAACTAACTTTGGCAGCTTGGGGAAAAAAAACACAACCAACCAACCAAACTCAAAGCACAAGTCCTTTCCCACTTTCTTAATTCCAAGCTAGCGTTTGCTCAGTTTGCACTATACCCATGCCACCATTCTAGCAGAACTGACAAGAACAAAGCCACTCACTTAATTTCCATGGATTCTGTTGCAGAAATACATTTGGTAGGAACATCCGATAAATCCTGGTCCATAGGCTCTTCTCCATTTGTCAAACCAGATTCTAATTTGCTTTTTTCTTCTTCTGTTGCTTGAAGTTCTGGAACTAGAAAATCTTCAGGTCTAAAGAATAAAAGGCATTTTGCTTTTAATAGTCTTACAGTAAAACCAAAGCACTACATAATATAAAAACAAGTGATGCTGACTACTACTACTGAGATGTTTTAAAACTGCTATTACCAACAATTTTATTATACTTGCCTTCAATATTTCCACATTTGAACAGAGCTCATTTGGAAAATATCACCTTCGTATCTTAAAAAAGAACTTTGATATCTTGAGAAATACCAGCAAATCGAGGTTTTTCTAGCAAGTATTCCTTACGCAAATAGGACAAGTATTGCTAGATTTTTCTCAGATGAACAATGCTCTTTCCCCTCATTATAAATTTATCAAAATTATGTGTAATTTAAAGCAGAAAAAAAAGAGTGTGGTAAAAAAAATAATTAAGTCTTCTATCTTACAAGATAAAAGCAAAAAAAAAAAGAAACCCACAACCAAAAAACCTGGAGTGGAAATACATCCTAAGGAGTATGAACACAGGTCAAGGATCAGCACTCTGCAGCCTCAATCCTATCATAAGCTTCCCATGAGACTCAGCGCAAACCATCCTAACTGTTGAAAAGTTACTGTGGTTGGAAGAGTATATAACAGTGTTGCAAAAGAGACAAAATGATGACTTCTATTACTCCTATTTTTTAATTGTTTCATAGCTACTACATGTTAGTATGAATTACCACCACATACTTGATAATCTCTCCATATTCATCCCATTTAATTCTTTCTTCGGGGGCTGGAAACATTGGATAAGACTTCTTTGCCTGTTTGAAGAAGCTTCCTTTCCGGCTACCTTCACCTTTCATCATCAAATCATGTTTGGTCTTATGTACAGTTGGCTGATCAATATCTTCTTCAGCATCACTCTCATCACTGGAATCAATATCTGCCCTGAAATGACATTAAAAAAAACCTAGCATTTTCTTTCTTTCTTCAGGTTTAATATTACATACACACACTGACTGGAAAATAACAGTTGCCATAACAGTAACCAAGGACAAGGGCAGTTTGTGTATCTGAGAAAGAGCTCACAGTCAAACAGCAGATGAAACAGGTCTGTCATAACAACAGATTAAAGACAACCATTCCCAACTCCTCAGTGCCCTCAGACAAGTCTATCAAAACTATGATTTTCATTTATCCCTGTAAATGTTTGAAGCAACAGAATGATCAAACAGAAATCTCAACTCTGACCATTACAACAGAATGCAACAACAGACAATATACCTACTCTTTAGACTGTTCTAACTTCTTAGCTGCTTCTTTCTTTAGCTTCTCCTTTTCTAGGTATTCTTCAAGTTCTTTTCCTTCCAACTTGACACGTTTTCTTAACTGCAGACAGAATTATTAATATTATTTTAAGTGATTTTAATACTTTCCTAAACACAGCTGAAAGAATTTGTGAATTTAAGTACCAAGGACAAGTACAACTTGTATGTCACACAGAAGACAGGATTATGCACCTTGGCATGGCAACATCATGACAATGTTATCAATTAGCAGAGTCTACTTTAGAAGAAAAGCATTTCTAAAAGTATTAAAATCAATTAGCTTCACAAAACTTTCTTAAAACACCTTCAGGAAACATCTCTCCAATAACTGGATCCAAATACTCTGAAATGAGCAGTGGTTTTTTTCATTGTGTCACTAATACCAAACCAGAAGAACCAGGCAAAATCTTACTAGCAGGCAAAACAGTGTAAGTTTTGTTTCATGTTTTCTGAAAACCAAATCAGAGTATAGGTCACTTTGAATAATACTGAATTTTAACACTGTAATTCAATGCTTCCAGCCCAATCTAAAACTAAAATAAAGCTGCATCATCAGGGTTGAAATTATCACTGCAATCACAGGGGACTCCCATAAATTAACAATGTTTACCAGAGAGAAGTAGACACAGGTGTATAAATTAGTCATGCTTTCAAGTTATTTTCAATAACAATTAATTGTCTTCTAATTCCTAGCTTTTGCTTATCCTTCTAATTCTGGTGTGATACATTATACTATTTTGACTTGACTCTCCCGTCATTCAAAACCAAAATATTTCCAGCAAGAATAATCCATTTGTGTATTGTGATCTGTATGTCAACTGCAAGCAGAATTTTTTTCTAGTAGAACAAAAACACAAAAGGCAAGTGTTGTCTATAGGTAAATATTTAAAAGCAATTTCATGCTCATCTCTACAGAGTATTAATTTTGCCACACCAAACAGCATTTTCCCGTTCCTAATATAAGACCTATTTTTACGTAAGTTTATCCACAGTTGGTTAAACATGCAACTTCTTGATTTCAGATCTCCCTCTGCCACTAGAAGCATTTTCAGTAGATCAAAAAGGAAACTAAATTCAACTTTGCTCATATTCCCCTAGATGATCCACAATAGAAAACTTTGAGATATACAGACAACTCTTACCTCAATATCTATAACTTTTTCAGAAGGATTATCAATCAGGAATCGTGCTAATGTTCCGGGTGTAGTGCGATAAGTTAAAATGATAGAGTTTTTGGAATCCTGGCACCACTGAATGAAAAGATCTCTAGAAAATCCACACTCCAAGTCAGGTTGACTGGCAAGAACAACTTTTGGACTAGGCACTCGAGCCAGATCAGACAGACTATGACATAAGGAGAGATGGCGGAACTGAAAAGGATTGTTTCTCTTGTCTTCAAAGCACCTCATCAACTTGTCACTCATCCATTCAACCTAAAATATGTATTAAGAAAAAGTTATTTCTAAGAATAGAAGTTCTACAATAATGTACAAACCTGATATGAAGTACAGGATGCAATATGCACATGATTACACCAATGCTTCTCAGCAAGTGTAGTAATAATGCTGAGTGTAATCAACATAAAAACAAGTATTTTAAGTCCCTTTTTTTAACAGCTATAAACTATGCTAACAAATATTGTGATAAACACAGAAATGAGCATCAAGAAACACACCCATAGCCATGACTGTGTTACTTGATCAAAAGATCCGAAACACAAATACACACTACAGAATAAGGACAACACCCACTATTCAGCCATTTGTTACTGTTAAAAAAAAAAAAACCAAAATGCTTTTGCATACATGTTCCATTACCCTCTTCATAACTGCATTTTAAAAATCAAAGCAAACCTGTGATTTAGAGAACTCCACTACATTGTAGCTGACGTTATTCAGAAGTGCTAGAGAATAGACTCCTAATCCTGCATCTTTTGTTCTCCAGATCTGATCAAGAAGTTGAGCAAGTTCCAGAACTCTGCCTGCTGTATCCACAGCTATTAATACGTTTCCATCACCTCGTAATGTCTCCAAAACATTAGCTAAGAAGAATTAAAAACAAAACAAAAACCTACTTACACTTTGAATCAAAATTAGAATGTTTGCAGCTTGGGTTTTTTTGTTCATTGTATCACACTAGCAATCATCATCAAAAACAAATCGAACACAGAAATAAACTTCAAAAGAGATCCAAAACCACATTTCCACCAAAATTAAAGGGAGCTGGAGTTTTCTTGGTAGCTCTGAAGATCTCACTGCCTTGATATTACTTTTCTTTCTTTTTCATTTTTTTATTTTAAAAAAAACCCACAACAGTAAAATGCAGTTTAAAAGGGAACGTGCTGAAGAAGGTCATTTAAAAATCCCTTACGAAGACATTAATTGATACTGCATAAAATACACTTTTCGAATATGTTTCATTGTCTTCAGGAAAATGTTTAACACACAGGGTCAGTACCATCAGAAAAGAGTAAATCAAAATTTGTTAAATTGTAATGAAAGTTCTTAGTTTGGATGCTTATGAATTTCTCATAGAAAAACAATTTACAGTGGCTAATAAATCACATTACTGCTATTTTCAAGCCCAAACAGAATACATACTCAGCAGCTGTTCATCCCTTTGCTTCCTCCTGGGTTGTACATAGGTAGCATTAAATGAATCTGTAATGAGCAATGAAGGCCTGCTCAACATTTCCAAGGAACATCCATTCAGATGGCTGTGGAAAAAAAAGATGCAAAAATCACTTTTTGCATTTCTATTTTATGAGGAAAAAATAAAAACCATCTCACTTCCAGAGGTTCGCATGTACAGAAATCAAACTGCTCAGTAGCTTAATGTTTCCTGCTTCAAACTTACAAATCAATAAAACTGAGTGGAATGAAAAAACCCAGAGCTAATGCTCGTTTCAAACTGATTAATCTCAATGCAAGTGAAACTAGTGGTCATCTTAGAGCTAGAAAGGCACCACTACTTCCACACTTGTTTATCAGACACGAAATGATGCACATTTAACACAACATATAAGAAATATACATTGCTATGTTGAACTTACATCTCCCTCTTGTGGTTGAAATCAACTGCATAAACAATTTCTTCCTCTCCATCCTTGACAATCTTCCAGATTGTACCTCCTATCATGTGACCTGCTGGCAATGGTGTGATTGACAAACCATGTCCTTTGCCTACAAAGGTTTTCAGTATTTTAGATACATTACATGTATTAAAACCCATTACTCTGAATAAGAGAGAGTAATTTTAAATAACTGAACACCAAAATTATTACTGGGGAAAAAGTCAAATTAAAGTATGAAAAAATCAGTAAGGTATCTGTCCTTCCCATCTAACCAGTAACTTCAGAATTTTTTTGCAATTCACTTCTATTTTGCCTCCAGAAAAAGAAACTAAAGTGAAGATCACATCTTCCCTCCACCTCCCATTGGTATTCAAGAGCCACTGCAGAGCTGCTATAGCAGAGTAACTATAGACCTAAACAACAGTAAATGACACAACAAACACAAGACATGAAAGCAAGCACACTGGTGAAAGGGAGACCCCTCTCTGGAGCAACACAAAATGTTTACTGTATCATTCACTGTGTAGGTGCTTCCAAAAACACATATGAATTACACAAACTGGAAGTTTTCCAGAATGACAAACATGCAAGTCAAACAATACCAGGAAAGGTGTCCATATGCTGCAGTGGGGGATGACGAACCTTTTTGGCACCCGATGCCTTTTTTTTTTTTTTCAATGCACTATTGCTCCTTGTCATTGGTGCTAGGCTAGGTCTTTGTCAGAGTAAAACTAGCCCACCCATGACCATCAGTCACCAACTTTGCTGCACTGCACCAACTTGAACAGAAGTGCACAGCTTTAATAATAATTAAACCATACATTATCTTCTTAGATGCATCCATGGAGTCTTTTTTCATATTTAATGGAAGTGACTCAGAAAGTAGGATGTTTTAAAAAGAGTTGTTCAATAAAATGACTTACAAGATGTAAAAGCTGGTAGCACAGACACAGCCTTGCTACAAATACCTTCAAAAAGGGTCAGCAGCCTTTCAAGGATGGCATCCCATTTCTACTTACCAAATTACAGGGCAAGTATTTTGGCAAGCGGCATTCAGAAACTGGAAGACACTGCATCTCACATACAAGCTGCTGGTGGTCAGCTTGTGTGCGTGTCTTTATTCAAGAACAGCGTTCCCATTTCATTGTTATCTTTAAAGTCAACAAGAATGAAAAGCTGTCGATTCTCCAGATGCCACAGTTCCTAGCAATAAGCTACACTAAGTACCACTCCCAGTCAGTGAAGACCTCCTCATTAAATCATCCAAATGCTGTAACTTAATCTCAGCAACTTAGTGATTCTCTAGAAAGCTTTTCTCTGTATTACTGGTTACTGAAAAGTTCTGAGGTATCTACCACCAGGCATGAGTAAATGCTTTTGAGACACATGAGCAAATTCCAAGAAAAGTTACAAAAACACAAAAGAGAAACAAATGTCTAAATAGGCTTTGGCATGGCCTCCTCCTCATTAAGTGGAAATTCTACCCATTTCCACATACAATGACTGAGGCAAACGTTCAGCTGATGTAGACTGACACAGGGCTACTGAATTCAGCCCCGCAAAATGCACAACATTCCAAAACTTACTTCCTTTAAAAAAAAAGTTATTTTAAGTCTCAATGACTCTGTTGCCTTTCATTAGAAGTCATTTATTGAAAAGTTCAGTGAAAACTTTACCTTTCAAGTTCACAATCTGAGAAAACTTCAGCTGTTGTATTTTATCAAAGGCTGCATCTACATCATCCAATGTAAAGAGTGTGAAATCTTCAGTATTATGGCGGGACTAAAACAAATAAGAAGTACAGAGCGTTCAAGAACCTGAGCACTCTACCGTATCAAAGATGTTGTGTACGAAAGTATCAACTTAAACATACCTGGTAGAGATCGTACATAAACATCTGTCCCATTTTATATACAGGAATAGTTGCATAAATGGCACAATTCAACCCCAGTTTTCCAACGGCATATGGAAGAGCACCAAGGTGTAGAGGATCAGGATGAGAAAGAAGCACAGCATCAACCTGGTGTACATGTCTACAAAAACAGGAACAACAGAAGTTGGTGAAAAGAGTTCTCTATGGTGTTATATACTTCCTATTATGGCTATTTTGAGAATACATACGCAGTCTGAATGCCATCAAAAACATTAAATCCCTCCAGGTTTAGAACAAAGCTTTTAAAATCAAAATTAGAAGTTACACGTATTTCCAAACATTCAAGTACTTAAAACTACAAGTGACTTCTGAATACATAATTTCAAGGTCTGGAAGACATAAGTTTCACATTAAATTCTTGATTAGAAAGATCTTAATATATACTTGGACACCAGAAAGTACATTAACTGAGATGCCAAAAATATTATCAGTGCAGACATGCTACAAATTGTTTATATATCTAAAAACCTAAAACAGACAATAACTTTTTTTTCTGAAAGACCAAACCACTGACCAAAGACACATCAATCCTCAAATTGATAAAGATTCAATCAAAATATATTTATTTAAAAACAGAAAAGGTCAAGTATATCATTTAAGAAAAGTGGCACATAAATTTTCGAGGTTTTATTAATTTTTAAAGAACAGAAGATTTTTTTTTTCCTTGCAAAGTGTTCCATAAAATAAGAACTCTGACTAAAAACTTACTACCTATCATGATTGGAAAACTTGAGGGCATAAAACATATGCAGCAAGTGAAAATACAAGTTGGGCTGAAAGCTTTTTGTTCCCTCACGTAGTAAGTGGAGCACACGCATTCTTCTTGGTAGCTGTTATTAAAAAGGGAATTTTATCTAATTGCTTCTCAGATAAGACACTACAAAAATTTTATAAGTTATCCTTAGTATATAACAATCCTCACTTAAGAGACTTTTATTAGGATTATTATGGTTGAAAAACTATGAGCGTGTCAATGCTAGGAAAGTGAATTTATAAAAGTAGCATCACAAAGCTTAGCTTCTTTCAGGAATTTCCATGTTTCTGTCCTAACCTTGTAATCAATGTTTACATAAGCAAAGCTCCTTGCTGTAAACCTGCATAAGTTCAGTATTAAAGTCTAGATGGGTTTATTTCTTTGCAGGGCTGGGATAACTAACAGAAACTGTTTTCCTAACAGTCTATTCAACTTGAAACAAGATGCAAGAAATGAACTACTTTGTATTCAGCCTACATACACTAAGGATTTAAAACTTAGTTAACCATTCTAAATAAGTTTAGAGCCAAGGTCAGTCTCCCATAAATTCTGCTCTCTGTCATGCTTATGAAAAAAACAAAACATCCAAGCCAAAACAAGCACAGAGCAGTTTGAGAATTACAGTTAATAGATGTAGCTCATTAGACTCACAAGAAAAAAAAACAAGTTTTTACTGGAAGTGTTTCAGCAGTGTAACTCCCTTCATATAAAACATGCTTCAAATAAAAAAAAGAATCATTTTGCATTTAACATCACCATACACATACCATTGCATGATATTTTGAAAACTTTCAGAAAAGAACAAGGCCTATTAAAAAAAAAGTGCGTGAACTGAACAACTTACTTCCTCAGGGAATCAATAATATCCATAGAAAAGTTTTCATCCCAGCCACAGTCCAAAAGAAAACGAAATTCATCTACTTGCAACAAGTAGCAAAGGGCAGATTCCTCCTGCACCCCAGAAAGCGTAGTCAACTTGATAATCGATGTCATTTTCTTCTCCAAGTGTTTAATCTCCAAAAGAACTAATCTGAATGGGGGAAGAAAATGTTTCATTGACTAATCCAAAGGAAAAGTCTGTTTATTTAGATCTAGCCTCATACGTTTCTGAGAATACACAGGACAATAAGTTGTGAAAACTACTCAATACAGCTTCTAGATATCAATTATTAAGTTTCAGATACTAATTCTTCATCGCTGTACGTCTTTTAGAAAGAGTTTTTTTACCTTATAAAAAAAGAGGTCACTAGGAGCAGTGCAGCTAACAACAGCTCCCACCCCGGGGGCCGGCTGCCGGCTCCCGGACACGGTGCATGCCGAGCTGCGGCCCCTCAGACCGGCGACTGCCCGAGGGGGGTCCAGCACAGGGCGGGGGCTCCGCACTGCGGCCCCAG